ATACAGATGAATGTCCATTTTGTATTTGTGTATTCAAAGTGGTTAGGATAGATATATAGTTACATTCTCTTAATGAATAGAATGATTTGTTCTAATGGGGTTTGTAAATAGGATATCAAGTCTGCATCTTGTACAGCAATTAACCACTAGGAAGAATGTACGTAGTGTGTTAATTATTGAAACTGTCCTACCGATTTGATTTGTAACTGTCTCATTGCTATTTGTTTATCAATAAAATTATGGGGAAAAATGAAAAAAAAGAAAAAGACAATAAATGAAACAAGAGATAAGAAAAAAATAAAATTAATGGCCAGAATTATTAGGGACATTCAGGTGGGAAGAGGAAGGATGGGAGGTGCACCCTTTGGCTGAGAAGTGAGACTTGAGTAGGAGTATAGCAGACAGGGAGGCCTGGAGACAAAGGAGCATGAAGGAGCACAGGACAGGAGCACTGGGTGGATCAATGGGACTGGAGCCCATACAGGCCTATGGGGATTTCCATAGGGTCTCTGGGTGAAACCAGCTGGGAGCAAGACCAGGTGTGCTCAGTTTGTGCTACCTCCCCAGGCCAACAGGCATGGGGCTGGTGAGCTTCTTCTCCAAGACTGGTGGCATCATCACACCACTTGTCCTTCTGCTGGGTGACTACCACATGGCCACCCCTATGCTCATCTTCAGCAGCACCCCAATTGTGGCAGGGGCGCTCTGTTTCCTGCTGCCTGAGACACGTGGCCACAGTCTGAATGACGCCATCCAGGACCTGAATCCATGTCCCCAGCCAGGGTGAGCAACTTACTTCTTCTGAAGTCCAGTGCTGGCTCCTCTTCCCAAGGCCTGGCCTCCACTTACTATTTCCTGAGAGAGCAATATGGATCCTTAGAAACACAAACATCTGTTGGGCTTTCACTCAGGATTCCCTTACATGAAGTAGTGTGCTTGCAAGGACATGGCCTTGGACCAATTCCTGGATGTTCATTATAACTGTTTATGACTTCAGGTCCTTGAATGCAGAGACCCTGGAAAAAGAAAAGGAGTCTGCAGGAAACTTTCCAGTTCAATAACAACCACCATGAAATTCTTGTACTTCTTACTGTGGTCACTCTGAGCCATGTCATCATTAGGAAGCGGCTGTCTACATCTCCTCAGTATTGCGAGACACCATAGAGGGAGAATAAAAGGGCGGAACCAGCATGCCTTCCCCAAGCAGCACACCGCAGCCTGGCTTCAGCCCCAGCTCTGGCCCCCTAATTAGGAGCCCAAGCCCAGATATGCCTCCCTCTCTGACTCCTCCTCTCTAGAGCCTCACATTAATAAACTCTGCTATGGTCTCATGTGTGTGTTCAGATTTGCTTGTTCTCTGATCCTTTGGAGAGTGTGATTTCCCTGATTCCCTCAGTCTGGGTAGCCCTGTCCTCAGTAGGATGAAGCCCAGAACAGAGCTCTAGCCAGGGCCTTCCCAAGCCTTGGGAACAACTACAGAGAAATCAAAATTTGCAGTTGTGGAGTGTGCTCAGTCTGGTGGAGAAGGAGCTGTGCAAGATGATGGGGAGCTGGCTCATTCTAGGGAGTGGAACAACCCCTCTTGCTGGGGTGCGGATGTAGGAGACCAATTGTAATGTGTGCTTATATGTGTCCTGCAGAGGTAAGTCCACCAGCTCCCTGGGAAGAGGACATTGTGCATCAGTTCAAGGGTGCACAAGCTGGTCTAATTCTGTCTTTTGTTCTCTCGCCAGCTGGCATTCAGCTGCCCTGGAGTGGAATCAACGTGAGGGAGGCCATGAGAGTATAAATAGAAATGAAGTAGAAGTTAAAGAGGATTCCCAACTTCTTTGGAACTTTTTTTATGTATTTGTTTGCCATTTCAATTTCTTCATCTTAAAACCCATTTTTTTTTTCTTTTTGCATTTCAGACATGGGGAGCTCAATTTTGAAATCTTTTCCTCCTTTGGATTGTATTTTTTAAACACTGGAAGATGTTTGATCCTTAGGTGTTGAAAAGGAGTTATTTGATATTTTTCTGCATATGTACAATCGTCTACTTGTCCTTAGGGCCAGAATTGAGGCAGAAGGAAGTACTAATTATGATGTTATTTTACAACTAGAACCATGCTGTTAAAAGAGAGGGTAAGTGGTCAGAATTGCCATATGTTCAGTCTTTCTTTACATTGATAAGTAATTCTTATTTTCACTGAAAGTACAATTATAATCCATATGAGAGTGCTCAGGTTCATATATCTTTTTTTTCTCAATGATATAAAGCAGATCAAGCTGGATCTAGGGTAATTTTCAGATGATCCTAATAAGTACTTTAAAGTCTTTAGAGAATTTACTCTTTACATTTACTGAAAAAATGTCATGTTAATCTTAAGTCAAACATTGACTTCTAATTAGAGACAATCAGCATGACAAACTGCTATTACATTTGAGGATCAATATCACATTGTTAGTTTTAGAATGCCCAAAGATAGACTATTGTGGACAGATAAGTTAGGTAGAAATTCTATCAGCAATCAGACTGAGCTGGGCCCTTGTGAGGTCAATGCAGAGAACTGTGGCTGGAGGCGCATGCACTGAAGGCCAGGCTTCAAGAACAAGAAGAGCTACTCACCATCTGCTCCCCCAAGGGAAGAATGGCTGTGACTGGTATTCTAAGTGGGCATCAATCACCTTGGGGTGAAGGACCTAATCTAAACACGAAAATTATGTCCATTGCATGTGCACTTGTTCTATGCCTTGTTTCTCCGTTTGATCACCATTTAATCAATATCTCCCAAGCAGCTATGATAGTTGTATACTTATTTGTTGACCATAGTTTGGTCACATCTCATACCCACCCTTTGATTTGCCATTGGATCATTATTATCTAAGCAACTATTCTTATATTCTTATTACTTCACACCATAAGCCCATTTCACTTTGTTCAATAAACACCCTTGAGATGTGGCGTTGATGGCCTACCTACTTTCCAGGCTTTCTTGAGTCCCTCTGAGACAGAAACTTTCTTTCTCCCAGTAAATTTTTCCCACTCTACAGAATATGTTATTCATTTAGAAACTTTTGTTAACAAACATTTATGATAAATACTGTAAAGTAAATCTGCATCCTCATGAAATGCACCTAATGAAGGGTGAATTGGAAAAGAAGATAAATAGGTAAAAATATATGGATACTCTTTTGAGAAGTACTTGAAGGGAACTATAACAGCAAAATGAAAACTTGTTCAGGTGCTATTCCTGCAATCCAAAACAGATCAATGGAGGTCAGATCCTAGATATGTTTTGACTAGTATAGAACTTGCTCAAATTAGAGTGTAAAAAGAGAGAAAAGTCATGATACTGACACAATTTTAGATGATTAATTATTGTATTAAAATTAAAGAAAAATGCCATCTAAGATTGCCTTTTCACTGCTCCTTTCAATATAGTTATATTTGAATTGTTCAGCTTAGGCAGACACAGAACCCAAGGATTTGATCTCCTGGGCTGCCAACGCACCTGGTGCACGCTGCAACAGCAATTGAGACTGTGTGTTGTGGTGTGCCCCTGTAATCTCAGTGCTTGGGAAGCTGTAAACAAGAGGATTGCTATGAGTCTGATCTACGTATTAACACCCTGTAGACCCGTACACCGTGTACTAAGTACATAAGAAAAAGAAAATGTTCAGAGCAAAATTCGAAAAGAAATCCATACCATAAGCACTTCCTAAGCAATATTAATTTGTTGTGATACTGGTTTATGTTTTATTTAACATGAAATATATATATATATATATATATATGTATATTCTTTCTAAGATTGTAGCTATGACAATGTAAAACTTTTTATTTCTTCATGACTAAATCTTTCAATGTACTATACATTTTTAATTGAAAATGCATTTTAGACATCCAGTCCAGCCCAGGCATAGTGAATGTGTGGGAGAGTTTCTGGCTTTTCTGTGCCCACAGGACCTCGCCGGACCAAAATTCAGAAATGCCACATAGGTGAGACCCTCTACCGCAACCTAGGAATCCCTCCAATCGTCTGGAGCCCCCACCGCCAAGTCCTCCGAGTGAGTGAGAACTTCTGTGATGCTCTTGGGACTGCCAGATCCAACCCAAGCCCAGGCCCAACTAGTGTGTGGGAGAGCTTTGGCACACCCCTGTGCCCCCTGGGCCAGGGGCACAACAGATTCACTTCCATATCCTGCAGCACGAAGGAGCTGAACACAGCAGCTAGACCCAGGCCATGCATAACTGGATAAATTCAAACTTAATAGATCTGCACCTAAATTTCAGTAGGTGTTAAGGTTATAACTGCAAAAAAACTCTACACCAAAGGTCAGAGGTCAGTGCTATAAGAAATGACAAAGACAAGGAGCAAATTACAATCTGTGAAAGATTTAGTCATGAAGAAATAAAAAGTTTTTATTTCTTATTGTCATAGCTACAATAATGGCAGATTTCTCTTCACAAACCATCAAGTCAAGAAGAGCATGGAGCAAAGCACTACAAGTCTTGCAAGAAAACAAATTCCAATCCAGACTGATATACCTTGCAAAACCCTTTCAAGTTTAACTGAGAAGTGAAATACTTCCATGACAAAGAACAACTAAAGAATTTCATGGCCTAGCCCAGGTCCGGTGAGTGTGCGGAGAGTTTCCTGCTACCCTGCACCAGCGGGACCAGTCCCAGCCCAGGCACAGCGTGGGCCGGAACCTCTCCCAGCCCCGCGGGCCGCCACCCACCACTCTGCAGTGCCTCCCCCACCCCGCCCGCCAAGTAGGATTTTCTGCCGAGTTCCGGGAGCCCCCAGACCCAGTCCTAGCCCAAGTCCGGTGA